AGCAATTTGAAAGCATAAGGAGCGTCTGCTCTCTAGAGTGTCTTTGATGTCATACAGCGATCGGTATGCGCAGCGCTGCTTCAAGTTGAACACACTTATTAGGCTTGTTCGAGATGCGTCGGTGCTGCGCAGACCGATCGGAGGATGACATCAAAGTACCGCGAGAGTGATTGGAGAGCAGATGACTCTTTAAGCTTTTGAATCGCTCTCGCGGTACTTTGATGTCATTCGGTCGGTCTGCGCAGCGCAGATGCATCTCAAACAAGCCTATTGTTTTGTCATGGGGGTGGAGTCAAGGTACTGGGTCGTGTACAACAGGCCTGGACATGCCTCTCTGGAATTTATGTCATTGGCCTGAGAAGCAGATCACAACTGATTAAGGCACCATCGTTGAGCAGAGGCATGTGAGTGGATCGTTTCCTTTTATTAAATCACGCAGAAACGTGAAACCCAAAGGGAAAAAACGGTATTGCGAGCTCACACTTGCAAATAAATTAAAGCTAGGATGTAACAATTCACTCAACTCATGATTCGATTCACAATTTTGATTTCAAGATTCGATTCGCAATTTATTTTTACAAAATGAGATTTAAGACAAATTATAAATGAAATGTGTCCTTTTATTATTGCTTGGACAAAATGCTGCACATTTCTTTGTGAAATTGAAATATAACTATAATAATATACTAATAATATACTAATATAGCACTTGCATATTACTGCTCTTTTGTTGGGTTTGATTGCTTCTATTGTCCTCATTTGTAAGTTTCTTTGGATAAACGCGTCTGCTAAATGACTAAATTTAAATATAATGTAAATGTGAAAAACAAAACTAAATTGAAATTTTAAAACAAGCCCCAAATCAAATAAATAAGTAACACAAATAAAAGAAATCTCTTCATATAAACAAAATAAGGCTTTGTCTGTGCTCTTTCCATTTAAAATGAGAGGCAACCACTGCATTTTAATCATGATCCAAACAAAGATGCTGCATACATGCAACATGAGCAGTTTTTAATCTAAATTAGATTGTATAATTTCGACTTTGACTTCAGTTTTGTGAAACTATACATAAAAATATCTGCATGTAACAGCGGAGCTGAATGAGACGCAGATTTACTCTCTGCCAGCAGGTGGCACTTAAAGCGTTTCCTTGGTTTCCGCTGTAAACAAAGCAGCGCTGCACTTTTGAACTTTAATATGCGTTATACAGAGGCAAGATGAAAAGAAAAAATATCATCTAAACTTTTCTAAAGACAGTAAGTTCCGCTCAGACAAACATTCTTATAAACTCCTACCCCTAAATGAATCGCAATTTGTTTAGCATCTCAACCGATTTGAATCATCACATATTTAAATCGATTTTCAACCGGCTCGCGGTTAATCGTTACATCCCTAATTAAAGCTATGGCTAATTTATTTATGCAAAATAAATTACACTCAGATTACATTGGCCATGGAATTGCAAAATCATTGCTTTTGTATGGAGCCCCTAAAGGGATCTTTGCAAAAATAAAAAATACACAGACTTTTGCGTGCGCATGAGAAACTATCGCGTGCGCACAAGAAACTTAATATTTAAGTTTCTCGTGAGTAAACTTTAAGCACGCACACGCACACACTCACACTTTGAGCGAGAGCAGAGATTCGCGATCGCAATGGACACGTTTTAAGTGCGCGCACACTCTCTGGGTGAGAGCAGCGTATATCTGAGAGGGCGTGTCTGGTTTTGGACGAGAGCAAAGGAAATCTGCGTGTGAGCGGAGAGATTCGCACTCGCGCATCATATTAGTGTACTCTCACGCTACAACAGTGCGCTCTCAACATTTGTCAGTAAAATAATGCTAATATAAAATACAGTGGAGGAAATATTTATTTGATCCCCTGCTGATTTTGTAAGTTTGCCCACTTACAAAGAAATGAAGGGTCTGTAATTTTTATGTAGGTTTATTTTAACGTATAGAGATAGAAAAAATCCAGAAAAAACACATTATATAAAGGTTAGAAATTGACTTGCATTTCAGTGAGTGAAATAAGTATTTGATCCCCAAGCAAAACATGACTTAGTACTTGGTGCAGAAACCCTTGTTGGCAAGCACAGAGGTAAGACGTTTTTTGTAGTTGGTCAT